ATGGCTAGCACGAGGGGACATAGCTTTAAATTGAGGGGTGATAGATATAGGACAGATGTCAGAGGTAGGTTCTTTGCTCAGAGAGTAGTAAGGGCATGGAATGCCCTGCCTGCAAAAGTAGTAGACTCGCCCACTTTAAGGGCATTTAAATGGTCATTGGATAAACATATGGATGATAATGGAATAGTTTAGGTTAGATGGGCTTCAGATTGGTTTCACAGGTCGGCGCAACATCGAGGGCCGAAGGGCCTGTACTGCACTGTAATGTTCTATGTTCTATGGCAGAAAGATTGAGAACAAGAGGCGCGTAGATTTGAGGTGATAGGGAACAAACAGTGATGCAAGGAGAAAGGTTATCAGAATAAAACACGAGTGATTCGGGCCTGGAATGTGAAGGGGGCAGATTCAATCAAAGCTCAGGAATGGGCGTTGGATTGTTAGCTAAAGGAAGAAAAGCATATTGCAGGACTACAAGGACAAGTGAGCTGCTTTTGGTAGAATCAATAGCATGGCAGCACAGGGGTTAACACTGCTGCCTCACGGCGCCAGGGACCTGGGTTCGATCCCACCCTCGGGCGACTGTCTGTGTGGAGTTTGCACATTCTCCCCGTGTCTGCGTGGGTTTCCTCCGGGTGCTCCCACAGTCCAAAGATGTGCAGGTTAGGCTGGATTGGCCGTGTTAAATTGCCTTGTGGTGCCCAGGGATGTGCAGTATAGCTGGGTTAGCCATCGGAAATGCAGGGTTAAGGGGATAGGGTGGGTCTGGTTGGGATGCTCTTTGGAGGGTCTGTGTGGACTGAATGGGCCGAATGGCCTGCTCCCACACTGGAGGGGATTCTATGACTGATTGTAATGTTTCCAAATTTGCGAGTGACACCAAACAGGGAGGGGAGGCTACCGAGAACTTGAACAGGCTCATTAAAGGGAATGCAAGAGGGAATATAATGTGTGAAATTATTCAGTTTGGGAGGGGGGAGAAAAAAAACACAGAATATTTCTTCAACAGTGAGAGATCACAAAATAAGGGTGTCCTTACCCGTGTGTCACTAAGAGCTAACATGCAGGCACTGCAAGCAATTAGAAAGGTAAATGGTGTGTTGGCTGTCATTACAGGGGAATCTGAGCGCAGGAGTAAAGATGTCTTGCTGCTGTTATATAAAGCCTTGGCGATACCACATCTGGAATTTGTTTTTAAATAGTATCATACAGCACGGAAACAGACCCTTCGGTCCAACTCATCCATGCTGAGCAGATATCCTAAATTAATCCAGTCCCATTTGCCAGCATTTGGCCCATATCCCTTTAAACCCTTCCTATTCATATACCCATCCAGATGCCTTTTAAATGTTGTAATTGTACCAGCCCCCACCACTTCCTCTGGCAGCTTATTCCATACACGCACCACCCTCTGTGTGAAAAAGTTGCCCTTCACGTCCCTTTTTGAATCTTTCCCCTCTCACCTTAAACCTATGTCCCTCTAGTTTTGAACTCCCCCCACCCCAGGAGACTATTCACCCTATCCATGCCCCTCATGGTTTTATAACCTCATCTAAGGAGGGAGACACTGTATAAAGAGGGAGTACAACAGAGGTCCACTTTATTAATCCCAGATTAACCAAATGGCAGAATTGTTTAATGAGAGATTGAGAAAACTTGGTCTGTATTCTCTAGAGTTGTGATGAATGAGAGAATATCTGATTGAAACCTAAATTCTTACAGGCTATGACAGGGATAGAACTTTTCTTTCCCTAGCTGGTGAGTCCCAGGTAGACAGAGCGGTGAAGAAGGTGTATGGTAAACTTGCCTTTATTGGTCAGTGCATTGAGCATTGGGGTTGGGAGGGTCATGCTGTGCCTGTACAGGACATTGGTTAGGGCCACTTTTGGAAAACTGTGTTCAATTCTGGTCTCCCTGCTATAGGAAGGATGTTGTGAAACTTGAAAGGGTTCAGAAAAGATTTTACAAGGATGTTGGGAGGGTTTGAGCGACAAGGAGAGGCTGAATGTCTGGGGCTATTTTCCCTGGAGCGTTGGAGGCTGAGGGGTGACCTTATAGAGATTTGTAAAATCATGAGGGGCATGGATGGGGTGAAGAGCCAAGGTCTTTTCCCCCCAGGATAGCGGAGTCCAAAACTAGAGGGGCATTGGGTTAAAGTGAGAGGGGAAAGATTTAAAAGGGACCTGAGGGGCAACGTCCTCTCACAGAGGGTGGTGCGTGTATGGAATGAGCTGCCAGAGGAAGTGGTGGAGGCTGGTACAATTACAACATTTAAAAGGCATCTGGGCGGATACTTGAATAGGAAGGGTTTAGAGGGATATGGGCCAAATGCTGGCAAATGGGACTGGATTAGTTTGGGAACATGAACTGGTTGGACTGAAGGGTCTGTTCTGTGCCGTATGAATCTAGCTGCCTAGTCCTGTGTTCTAATCTGCATGTAACCTTGTGAAGAATTTCCTGTCTCCCCCTCAGCTCCTATCATGTCCACCATGGTCTGTCCGAGGGAGGAGAAGCTGGAGAAGCTAACGCAGGATGAGATAGTAACGAACACAAAGGCGGTGATCCAAGGCCTGGAAACCCTGCGAAGCGAGCACACATCTATCCTCAGCTCCCTGCTTGACACTGTCCATTCCCTGCACAAGGAGCAAGACCCAAACGTGGTGCAGGAGAAATCATCACTCCTCCAGAAATCCCTCGAGAACATCGAGCTGGGGCTCGGTGAGGCCCAGGTAAGGAGGCACAGCCCTGGCAGCAGCGGGCGCTTGGTAAACGCAGACGGAGACAGCACCTGGGGTGAGGAGCTTTTGAAAAGATTTGAAGCAGATTCCCCTTTTGTGATTCATGGGATGTGGGCCCAGTATTTATTGCCCTGTCCCTAATTGCCCCCTTGAAGGTGGGGGTGAGCTGCCTTCTTGAACCGCTGCAGTCCATGTGCTGTGGGTTGACCCACAATGTCCCTTAGGGAGGGAATTCCAGGATTCTGACCCAGCGACACTGAAGGAACGGGGATATATTCCCAAGTCGGGATGGTGGGGGGCTCGGAGGGGAATGTGCAGGGGGGCGGTGTTCCCATGTACCTGCTGCCCCTTGTCCTTCTGGATGGAAGTGGGTCGTGGGTTTGGAAGGTGCTGCCTGAGGATCTTTGGTGAATTTCTGCAGGGCACCATGTAGATGGTACACACTGCTG